GTGATATATCATCTATTTAACCACACGATATAAATAATTACAACACACCCTCGACAAATCAGGCAATACCAAATTACATATTCGGGCAATTCAATTGGTATAATATAATTATTTTTCTGTGGATGATGACATGCTCTGAAATGAGGAATTAATGGGTTTTTAATGGTATGACATAATTTGATGTAGTCAAATCTAAAAATAATTTGCAAATAGCAACTGGTGAAGGTTAGTACATGTAGATGCATGTTTTTGCATAAATTGAAGAGTTTTCCAAAAGAAATCTGATTTCATTTTTTTTCTGGCAGCATAATATCTGTGCTATGTTTTATACATGTTGCACTGAGTTATATTCAGGAATTAGTATTGAATAGAGAAATTGAAATTAATTTGAGAAGATTCAGAAACCTGAGAATCCCAGCTGTTATAATTGGCTCGACTTATTTATCACAGCCACCTATATATGTGGATATCTGATATTAAATCAGCTACATGTTATGTTTCTATTTTAAAAGCTAAAATAACATAAAATATGGTTGCTTTAAAACTTTTATAAAATTTGTGAGCTTTTGTTTTGTCTCTATGTAATTTTGTTTTATTTCTTGTATTGTATTTCACGTATTTTCACACAGCTTTTTTTGCCTCATGTATTAGCCGACAAAACACACCCTTCCCAGGGCTAGGTTCACCACAACATGTAACAGTCACGTGGAATATTAGCCATGTGTAACATCACGCAATGGTTTAAACAGGCACTAGTCACTGCACAATAATATGCATACCAGGTGTTCCCAGTCCACTAATCAGGAGACAGATTTGCAGTTCAATCAGATCGTGTGCCACATACACATTGCTTGTAGGTACCATCCAATCAGTGGCCTCCACATCAATCAAGTACAATAGATTTGACAATGACTGCAATGTGTTTTGTACCTCTGTCCACCAAGATATAGTTTGGATTATTACAATGACTAACCATCTCAAACTATGTCAAGTATACTAAGTCTTACCTCATCACTTTCTGATAGATCTACACTGCCATTGGCATCATCATCCAATTGTCTATGCAAGGCTTTGATGGCTGCCCATCCTAACAAGTCTTTTTCTTCTATATGGCATGATTCATATGTATCTTCACATGTTTCTGCAACTGTCAAATTAAAATTACAAAAATGATATATACATGTATTATAGGCTGTAGAAATCACAGCATTCAGCCTTGTTACATTTACAAGGTGCTGATCATAAGTGTGGCATAATACAGCTACTTGTGAGATAAACTTATAAAACTAATAGCTTATACATGTAGCAGTTTCACTGCATGTAAGCATTCAAAACATTATAGCTTTGTATACTATTTAACTATTCTATTCAGTGTTGGTCAATGAACCTACATTTTTGTAGTACTTCAGACACATTTTATCTGTCTTTTACCTCAGTACCGATAATACATCAATCAATATACATGTCAAGTACTACCGGTAGTACCTGCTCTTAAAAGGTCATAAATTTTACTTACAACAAGACTACTGTAATTCTGGTAAAACTTAATGAAAGACCATGTAACTGAATGTCTGTAATTACTAGTTTTTGATGTCAAGTTTATGTCTTTTACTATACTATCTGAAATTATATTGTTTTGACTTGCAGACAATCTTGGCACTGCTATAGCAACATTGGCTGGGAGAAGTACTACTTGATATTGGCATGTTGCAGCTTTTATTGACCCTGTTAAAAACAGTTACTTTGAATTGAAACGGTCTGAACATTTCCCATCACAACTGGTCAAATGTGTAGCTAAGAACTTGTTCACCAAAATGCTAGTCTTATGTTGGTGCAATGTTAGATTTACATCAACTCAAAGCTATCATACATTACATGTTACGATGATTTACTGTTAATTGCAGTATAGTGATTCTATTGTTTTTATTCAAACAGCATTTACACATATCAAAAAGGAAACACAGTGTAGCAAGGTCAGGTTTGAAAAGGTAGAAGTACAACTGTTAGGCGAAAGTTATTATTTGTAAAATTAAAATTAAAATCTATGAATACAAATTAGGTAATTAATATTCATAGATTTCAACTCTAAAGTAATACAATTTGTAGATTATCTGTAAAACACCTTTAAATTGTATAATTTATGCAAATTAGATGATAAGTATACGTACGTACCTCACCCCAGCGCAACTACTGTAAAAATACTTTACTTTAGCTGGATTTAATTTTTGCTGAATAGACTTTTTTGGTGATTTGTATGGAATTTATTTTCACTGATTTTTGACAAGTTTAATGTAAAATATAGGAAAAAAGGTATATTCGCTGAATTTTATTTTTACTGAATTATTCCTTTGTTCTTCTTTGTCTAACGGCTTAAAAATAGGCTTATTACATGTATTATGCAAATTAGATATTCAACATTCATGAATTTCAACCAAGAACTAACAAGACCTGAGGACCAAGTTTTATGAAATCTGGTGAGTCGTGTTTGAGATACATAATAGTCAATGCAATATACTGTATTCAACCGATATAGGGTCCATGTCCAATCAAGTGTAGGGAAGTTTGTATGATTTATATTTTTGAGGTCAAGTTTGACTTTGTGCTCATATCATCCCAAGTAATGTAAAGTAGATGTAGTTTTACTTTTTTTGAATAATAAAATTTGTTTGTCATTATCATGAATGGGATATGAATGGGTATTTACATTTCAACAATGAACTGTTATAAACGCATGAATCCTTAAGATTTTGATCAGAAGGCCAAATAAAAAAATTTGAATGTGAAAGGTGTTAAATACTTTTTCCACACTAAAATAACCTTCCTAATGTTGCTAATCGACAGTTAACAATTTTTTGAACATTTTCAAACCCAGATTAAATTTTTAGATCCTAAATTCAAGTACCTTAAATCTCGATTAATTCGCGGTAGTAAAAATAATTATTTTTTCAAGTGCACGAATTAATAGCGTCAAAACGGAAATTATTGGTTTTTGGTGCACGAATTAAAAGAGTACTTTTAGATCGATTCAAGAAGGAGCTGTTTTCATAAATTTATTAGTGATTTGTTTTGTTTTCCAATGAACACGATTACAGGACGTTGTTTTAGTGCCTCTGAGACTCGTGGCTAGCGACATGGTGTACTGTCGGGCACGCACTGCGTCAAGGACCACGCACCATGTTACACTTGAAATGGAACAGTGAAATGGCAATGGTCACTCTGTACACAAACGAACAATGAACACGTGGCTACAAAGTAGCCGTCTGGCTGCACAGCCACTGGCAGTACCGTCAGACACAAATTATTAATATTGTTCGACAAGTCATCAGTAGTGAAGCCGTCAAACCAATCACCATCGTCGTGGTCGCCGTTTAAAAACAGATCGGCAATGATTTCTGCTATTTCAGTGTTGCTTCGGATAAGGTGGTCTTCTGCCCTGTTGATTGCATTTTTGTGGCTTTGTTTACATGATTGTTTTTTTTTTGTCAAGCACTTTCCCTGGGTGATCTTATGGAGGATTCGATTTTTTTTTTAGAAAAATGTGGACCAAAAGATCGCCCGGGCGATGTTATGGCAGACATTACGAAGCCCATCTTGTCTGGAAAAATAACCCTGCGTTGATAAAAATGGTCTCAGAAAAATAATGTTTCGCATTGACCAAATATAATCATGCAAAGTATAAATTCAAAGTGTTTTAATACATTGGTGAGAGGTAGCATTTTACGTGAACAAGAACATGCACTGAGAAGGAAAAGCAGGCCAAAGTCGAAACGGGGTGCATCATGAACATGACAACACACACTGCGACAACTGAGTGATCAGCGACATCATTTTGGAACGCAATTGAACTTCAAGTACTTCTTTGCGAAACTTGCTGTGCGGCAATGCTGACGTTAAATGTGTTGATCGAAGTTTGACCCCAAGTATCGCACTGAACTGGCTCTTTACCTTAGCAACCTTTTTCTTCGTGCCCAGTGGTATTGTAATTATGCAACTTGTATGGAACTTTGTACTGGCTTTGAATATATCACCGTCGTTTACTTAGTGCACTGCTTTTCTAATTACACAAATTTGTTTGCACTATTGTACCGGGTCTAAATATTTCAACTTGGTAATGTATTGCTTTCATGATAATTGTTTTTTTTACTATTGTTAGAGCACTGACCCGGGGTATTGGGTCTGAATATTACAATATCACCAACTTGATAATGCGTTGCATTCGTAATAAAACATAAACATACCATATGTCAAATTAAATTTTACTATAATACTATAACTATAATACTATAACACCCAGCTTGACGCAAATCAATATAGTTACTTGTCATTTGTTCAAAAAATCGTTCAACTCTCACAAATACCATAAACGCGAAGAGTAAACTGGGGGGTTAAATGAAAGGGAACATATTTTTTGAACAAAAACACATCAGTACAAGATTATGTGTGCAAGGTTAGATTTATAGAACATACATACATGACTGTTTTTTACCGAATCCGGTATAATGAAAATGTGACACGAGGTCAATCGCCCGACCAATCAAAAACGTCAATTTACGTACCATAGGGCGGTTCACTTAAATGACGTCATAGAATAAAATCAATTTCCAAAATGGTCGATGCAACACTGTGAACCAGCGACGAAAAGCTCCGTACTAGAAATTCATAATCAATGTGCTGACCGATGGATATTTATTGACTAAATAATAATCTTGCTAAACATCTGTAGTGTCGAGGGGGAATGATTTTGTTCAGGTCAAAACTTGACCCAACCTAAACTGCCTGCTAACTGAAAGGCTGTGATGACGAAGATCATCTGCGATTACGGCTACACCAAGTACTGATAACATAAAAACTCAAACAAAATGTATATGTTTAATGTCTTCATGCAATATATTCTGAGTTATCCACTTCATACTGGCCCACAAATTAATAGGATACAATTTTAAACATGTTTTTGAACGCCGCGAATTAAAAGAATACATTTAAAAATTAGCGTTCGAAAATAAAATGGGTGCATGAATTAATAGACCATGAATTAATAGAGTTTTTACGGAAGTATGTGAATATCACAGTAATAAAATGTACATATTCTTTGTGAACATTTCTGTTCACAGTGATGGTGGAATCAATGATAACACTCAATTTGTGAAACAATGCTTTATTTTCTCACAAGACATGTGATATATCTCCAAACTTAGTGCAGTGTTCTCCCCAGGATGTAAACAGCGTGATTAGCAAGACCGCCACAGTGCTTCTTTTCATTGGGGGATCTCGTCACGCTGGTCGGCCTGACCGGCACTCAAAATTAGCGACCACTGCAGAAACGCTTCTGACTATTGTCATATTGTTATTATACTTACGTACCGACCGACACGCATCCTGCCAGTCGTGGATAATAATTTGTAAACAATAGACATAGTCCCGCGATTGAACAATACAAGTCAATTTTGTAAAATTAGCACCTCTTTGTTTGTAAGTAAATACTTTCTGACGATAGACGCACGCAGTCTTTAGATTGAAAGCTAAAATTCTTTCAAAATCAATTCCACCCGATATAACATGGGCAAATCAGAGTTCACGATCAGTTTACGCTACTCAAGAAAAAAACAACGTGTTTATTGCGTTATTGGGTAAAATACATTTGAACTGTTATCATCGTGAATTATGTAAAAACTCTTCTTTCAATACTTTTTTTACCTTTTAAAAATTTCTAATCACCTCTTTCGAAAACCATCATGCAGTTTTCATCTGAAATTCATACATTGTACCAACACATCGTGCTACGACATCGCTTTACTTCCGCAATGTAACTTTTTTGACCCACCAGGTCAAAGGACACATGCCGGTCAACTAATGCGTCATAACTATCATGGCGGGTCTGTGTTTTTCACCGAAGTGATTGAGTGATCAAAAATATCCACTCCCAATAAAACTAAGTTAAATTTAACATTTTTTGCATGGCATCATGACCGAGTAAGAGGAATTATTGGTATAACCGGTGTAAAACATCGCGAAGTAAGTTATGTCACGTCGTAACTTTGATCGTTTGGAAGTGTTATTTGTTCGTTCATTTACTGTAAATGTAAACGTTAGAAGCTGATGGTCGGAATAATAACCAACAATCCGCCAAATAACTACATGGTCGATTTT